AAGAAAAATATTTTGTATATAAAAACATTGATATACAATTATAAATATATTTTCATATTTATTCTGATAAAGAAGTAAATTCGATTGATAATGAATATTAATGACCCATGTTTAAGCAAAATTTTTAGAGAACAAATTACATGCACATAAGATTGCAAAACTTTGCAAAATCGTAAAAAACAATATTAAAATTTCTAGAAATTGAATCATGTATGTTTCCGTTTAACGAAATTGTGATAAAAATATTATACAAAAATTAGAAAAGATAGAGAAAAAACGACGAATAGAGGGTATAAAATAAGATATACAGTTTATCCAATGAATATAATTAATACCTGCTTTACGTGATATATTTAGAATAAAAAACAAAACAAAACAAAAAAAAATTGTAAACAAACTATAACAATTGTAAATATACAGGTTATTAATTAATATCATATTATTTTTGACATAATAAATCAGACACGATCGATATAATAATATTGTGTTAAAATAAACACAAAGATATATGTTTACTATGTGAAAGTTGAGTATCGATTACTATATTTAGTCATATGCAGAAAATATTTGATTAATCTTAATGATATAAAGTATTAAAATATTTACGTCTCTTTTTGTAATTTGTCGTTCAATCAATGATTATAAAAAGCAGGTTTAAAGAAATGGCAAAAAAATATCTAATAACGTTTAACTATCGAGAAGGATTGGCATCAGTTAATAGAAGTTCCAGATTTGTATATCTGCCGCATTTTAAATGAGATAGTCGATTCAAATGCTGATTGAGCGTATTTGCAGCAATCGGTCGACAAGGTGCGACACAGGGTGGAGTTTCACCAATTATTTCAATGATGTTTGCTATGAAAGATGACCATTCCGAAGATAAAGAATCATCCGTGGGATATAATTTTTCTGCTTGTTCAAACATCGAAGCAATTACAGATACACCAAACTAAACAGAAAAGCGTTTAAATGTTGAAACCGATGTAAAAAGAAAAACAAAAAATTAAAAATTTAACAATAAAGTTTTAAACAAACCTTGTTTGTCAAAGCAAAAGCTAAACTGTTGTTCTTGATAGGTTGATTAGCAGAGTCAGATAGCGATCGAGCTAGTCGAAATATTGTATTGATGTTTTGCACGGTATCAAACCATCGTTGAAATTCCGAATGCAGGCTTATCAAGAGGTGAGAATCTCTACGACCTATAATAGCTAATCCTCGAAATATCGCGTTCCATAATTCTTCTACTTGATTACGATGGTCCGTTACATTCAAATATGGCAAGAACCTCAACAACAGCGTCTGCAATAAACAATAATATTCGAATGATCAAAATATAATTTTCTTTCTTTTTTTTTTCAAATTTATGTGTATGTATGTATATATGTATATGTGTGTATTTTATTTCTTATAAGATGTATATTTTATTTTCAGCTGACTTACCTTTCCTTTTCGAATACTTAGTATGCTTGCTAATTTATCATCTTGTATTAATTGAAGAAAAGCTGATAATATCATATTTATTATATCTGAGCTACCTTTCTTAATATTATTTGTTTCACTCTCTCCTTCTTGATTTTGTTGCTGCTCGCTAAGTAGAGCCAAAGGATTATGCAAGTCTTCAAGTTTTAATTGAATTATATATAACTGGAAATAATATTATTCATGCAATAGATGCTTATAGATAAATCGAATGTTTTGTTAATTAGAAACAAAACAAGAAAAAAATTAATACCCTTTCAATTTCTAGTAATAATTGTCTTGTTCGCTTTGTATCTTTTTGTTGTATTTGAGTAGCTAATTGAGGATCACTATTTGGTACGACATCCATATCAATAACTTTACGTGGTGCAATAACACTAGCAAACTGTAATTTTCCCAAAGAATTTTCAAATTGTGTCGGTGTATATATGGATTTTGAAAGTACATGATGTGGTTGTTCTCGATCTCTGAAAATAAATATAATAATAATGATTATTATTGTTTATTTTAGGGATTTTAGGAATTTAAGTAGAAAAAAAATAAATTGAGAGAAAGAAAAAAGGAAGAAAATAAAAGAAAGATTTACCTGGTATCTCTATGATAATTATTATTATTATTATTGTGTTTTTTATCTTTTTGCTCTTGATTTATACATTGCCTATTTCTTCTATCGCAGAAAACGATGTAATAATAATCGTCAACATATGGTTCATTTGTATTAAGTTGCAATAATTGAATATTAATTAACCACTGTTTTTCCCGAGTACTCATGAGACCGGCATATTCATCATATTCTCCTGATCCGATGATTCCATTTATTCCTTGACAGTGATGATTATAATGATAATGTCGCTGATTATTTCGATCATGATTTCGATGATGTTGATTGTTCTTAAAAAATGGTTGGTGATTTCCTTGTTGTTCCCCATGATGAAAAGCTCTATTTTGATTTCTTTGATTTCCAGAATGCGGAAAAGAATGTTGTTGTTGTTGCTGATGACTGGTTTGATTGCTAGAGAAAGGAGGTATCATACTATGATCTGCTCGTAAAAATGGAGGTGGACATAAATTCGAAAGCGATGGTTGCTGTAACAATATGATTAATTTTAATAAAATATTTTTTAGAATATTTGTATAGAATTAATTATTAAAACTTACAGGAAAATTATTACAAAATGAACCATGAATTGGTTGTCTTTGAGCAGTATGTGGTAACATCAAATGTGCTGCAATAGGATATCTTAGTACATTTCCAGTTTGATCTGTAAAAATAGATACATTGATTCCAAAAAAAAATAATATGAATTCAGATTTATATTTTCTTAATTTATCAATGATGAAATTTAATCATGTACTTACTGGCTAATAATCTAGGATGCTGTAAAAATTGAGGATGAGGAAATCTCATGTTTGTTGGTAAAACAACAGGATGTGGAGGTATACCCAATCCTGGCGGGAAGCGTGGTGGTGCAGACAAAGATTCAAACAAAAGTGATCCATCAGATTTTTGTTGTTGTTGTTGTTGTTGTTGTTGTTGTTGTTGCGGTTGTTGTGTTTGAGTAGGTTTATTTAATCTAGATGGTTGTCTATTTGCAATTAATCCCTTTTCTAATTGTTCCACCGTGCATACATTTGTTATAGCTGGTGATAAAGTCAAAGGTGGTCGAGGTTTAGGAAGGACTAAATTGGAAGGACTATCCCATACTCCAGGACGTGGAACAATACCTTCCTTCTCATCTAATACCAAGTGGGATAAATTATCTTCGATATCTAAATTGGTTACATTCTGTAACAGTAATCATAATTTTTTTACAAATCAGTTGATATAAATGGTTATTAATAAAAAAAGGTATAATAAATCTATTTACTTTTTTGCTTAAAGTATTCTGATGATGAGGGCGATTGGATTCTGTAATTTCTGCAAGTTTTTCATGATCTTTTTCCCAATCGCCAATAGTAGCTTCAGAACCAAAAGTTTCATCATTCAAAGCATCATATTCTTCCTCTTCTCCAAGATCATCTTCTTCAAAAGGACATTCAAGACCATCTTCTAGACTGCTATTCTATACAAATTATAAAAAATAATATATATAAAAATAATAAATATAAAAGAAATATTGTTGAAATAATATTTTACTATTTTTAGTTTATTATAAATTAATTATTTACTATAGATACAAAATTAATTAAAATTAATACAAAATTGTATTGAGCGACAAATAAAAAAATTTTGATACAAAGATAATAGCAAACTATACAACGATCATTCGCTCTTTTTATTTTATTGAAACACCTAACAGAAAACTAAAATAAAACAAAATTATGAAGAAAAAATTAAAATAAAACAAGCTTGTGAAGGAAAAATAATAATTAATATGAAAATAGTAGTATTAATGACCTTTGAAGAGATTAAGATATTGACGAGGTTATGCGATGTATGTATCTCCATAACGACTGGAAGTGGTAATGATACATACTATGTATTTTAAGAACTATATATGTGTAAAAAAAAAATAATAGAATATAAGATATAAAAAATTTGCTAAATAATCTTTGCCAATCCATGTAATCTGAATAAGTTATTCGTGTTAGCATTGGATTGAATTGGACACTTTTTAATTCGTTATATTCTGATGAAACCACGACGCGACTCTTGGTTAAAATCATGCACAATCTCTTAGTCTTTCCGTGTCATTTTTCATTATTTTTAAACAGAGATGAAAAGAAAAAATAATCCCAAGAGGAACTTGCTTACTTACTGCAAGCGACGTATCGAAACCGAAAAAGAAGTCTGCCATTTGTCGAAATTAAATGTGCAAAATGACATGTTCTGATCAAACGTCAAGCGATACGAAATGCATCAGCTGTCATGGCGGTTCACTGTATGAATTCATAACTGTATTCTAGATGTCGCAGTCGTTTCTTTAAAAAACTTATATATAGGATATTTATTGTTTAATATTTCGAAGTTCTAATTATATTATTTCAAGGATTGCATTAATTGCATTTAAAATGTTTAAAATGTTACTATTTTTTTAATTACATATATTAAATAGCTTTTTTTCATTTAAATCAATAAGAATAAAAATATCTTGATAAATATTATCGAAAAATATTGAGAAATACATTATTTCATGTGCATGCATTATATTATATTAAAAAAATAAATTGTATAGCATTTAGATATTTATAATGACAAAAAAAAATCATTTAATGATGAAAAAAGGGAAAAATGATGAGAAAAGACGAATGAATTAAATGTGCATTTTTATTGCCATCAAGTCTTTCGATATTGTGCTAGTATTTTTTAAATTTCTTCATTCTAATTTAAATTTTAAACGATTCACGCGTTAAGTAATATTCATGTCTAATCGCTTAATTGGCAGACTGTACGCAAGCTCTTATATTCTAAAAAAAAATTTGAAATTAAGCTAATGTGCACAGTTGCATCAGATTTAGGATACAACTGGTCGTGCTTGCATTTGCTTTCTTTATGCTCATTTGTGAAATATTAGTGACCATTACAAAGAACACATTGCTCAAAAAATTCTAAGTAAACAAAATCCTAAGTACATAAGTAAATAAGTAAGTTGATACAACGGATATTATCAGATTTAAACACTGCTAGTAGCGTGACAGTCGTCCAACGTGGCTAAACTGCTGGCTCTCAATGATGCCAGACTCAAGGAACTGTGATTCAAAGTATTCATGCCATGAGGATCTTCGCAATGCAGGTACAATCGTGAACTAACAGATTTGTGACAATCGGGACACAGACGTTTCTTCTTTTTGTCACGTTTCTTTAAAATATCATATGCACATCTGTAAATTATATATAATATAATGCGATAAATAATAAAAGCAATTCGAAAAAAAAAAATAAAAAATATGTTATATTTTTGAATTCACTTTACCTGGCATGTAATATGTGAGAACAAGGTAATGCTTCCAAGGAATCGGTTTCAAGGCCGAAAGGCTCGTTACAGCTACCACATCGCAATTCTAAATCTTCTTCCATTGCTGTGGCTAATCTTTCGTGATGAGTCTTTTGTTCCTCATCTCCAAGAGAACCATAAATACGCGAAAGTCTTGATCTCACCGTTCGTACCAGGAACTATGTTTCAGAGAAAAGGAAGAGAGAAGAGGAGGAAGGAAGAGGATGAAGGAAGAAAGAAGAGGATGAATAGAAGAAATAGATGAAACAGCGAAGATTATTAGGATCTAATTGTTAATCAAAATAAAATTAAATTAGAAAATAAAAATATAAGATTTCTTACCTTCGCACCAACTGATCCAGCTACTTCGAGCAGCCTAGTATTGAATTCAAGAGGACGACAATTGCATATTTTATGTTGTAATCGAAGGGCCTCAAGACATCTCGCTGCGCCGTCCATAGCTTCCATTTGACAGAGACGGTCTCCAGTCGCTGCCGCGGATCCCATCGCACTTTCGTACTGTCGAAATGCTTTCTACGAGCGAAACAATAATGTAATCACACAATTATATCTTACATCTTTATTTCATTTTTTATGTGAATAAGAACTTGTCCATCTAGTTTTTATACGTTTTACATACTTACGTTTATATCGGATTTTTTTCTATAAATATCTCCCATTATTCGTATACTCCTGGCATAACTAGCTTGATCTCCAGAAACTAACGATAATCGTGTTGCTTCCTGCGAGTTCCCGATCAAAATAACAGGTCCAAGTGGATACGTGACAGTTGAATATGGGGGTTGTAGAAAGAAAGTTACTGCCTACCGAACAGTAATCGTGGGCGTCACCGAGTTCTCCTTTTTTCCGGAGTGCCGCTGCCATCTGAAGAAGAGCTGCTCTATGATGTCGGGAATTTAAGTCGCCCAATTGCAAGCTTCTCGAGAGGTCGTAAGCTCTAGCCGCATACCTAGCGCTCTTATCAGCATCGTGTAATCTGCAGAACAGCTCCGATAAACCTACGTATACCTGTGGATCGAAAACAATATGAAACATATATCCTATCGAATAAGATCGAATCTTCAATAACTTACCTGCAATTCCAATGACGGATCTTGAATCGAATGAGCAATTTTATGAGCTCTCTGAAAAGCTTCCAAAGCTTTACAAAATCCTGCTAATTCCAAGTGAACTCTGCCTACGGTCAAATGAACCAATCCAGCAGTCGCACATTGGTCGCATTCATTGTATAAGCTACGAAACAGATATTAAATAATTTGTTCATAATTTTATTGAATTGGATTGAATCGAGCAATAATACGAAAATCGAAAATCAAAAATCAATTGAAAATAATTTGAATCGGAGTAATGAATACATATTTTATTTGTATATAAATTACTTGTATATAAAATATCTCAGTTAATATGATCATCTCGAAACTATTATAATTTTAATGAAATTTTTAAAATATGGAATTTAAATAACTGTTGTATAATTTTATGGAAATTTTAAGATGTGGAATTTAAATAGTTTTTTTTTTATTTTATATCTTATAAAATATATGCTTTTTTTGTAAGTGAAAGCATTTCAGAGATTTCAAAATCATCTTGATTTTTAATAGAATGATTTTTTTTTTTATATTATAAATTGGTAGAATATTATTTCTAGTAAAAGTAAAAATTGATCTTCATGCATTTTAAATAATAAATAATATTAAAAATAATTAAATATTACCGAAATAATTTTTAATACATATTTATTATCTTTAAGTTAAAGTTAAAGTAAATGCTTGAATTAATATTCCTTTGATATAATTTCAACATAATTTCAATACTTATTTTCGTCCTATCAAATGTTCAATGAGATTTAATTATTTCTTATCTATTATTGAATATATCTTACCATATATTAATTATTCACCATACTCCATTGTCATTAGTGATCAATTTAACGTTTTGTGACCAATAATACATCTTTTTGACCAATAATACGTCTTTTAAATTAAAATAAACTAATTAATATTGTTTTATTATAAATAAAACATTTTGTAAAAAGAAAAAGGAAAAAAATTACTTTTTTTGCAAAAGATTTTAACAAAACATAATAATTTTGACACTTGAATGCATTGCATTGAAAAATTGAGTAAGCTTGATATTTCTAAAGCATCTATTTTAGTTTTTAGAAATAAAATTATTTCATTAATTAATTAATCTTAATTATTAATTTCAATTCTTAATTATTAAATTAAAGACGATGATATATGAGAAGATTGATATATAATATTTTTATTTAGAATGTAATATTCTAATGATTTACAATATAAAAAATAGATTTTTTTATTTAAAAAATCAAAGTTATTTTTTAAATAGAAATAAATAAATAGAACCTCTATTCACAAAAAAGCATGTAGCTTATAAGATGTATTTCTCGAAACTATTTAAATTCCATTCCTATTTTTATAAAATGTATCGTTTAGCAATTATTTGAAATGATCAAGTTAACTGAGACATCCTATATGCCTTGCATATGTAGTATAATGTAATAAAAAAGCTAAAATAATTAATTAATTATTAATTAATAATTAAAGTATATAATAAGAAAAAATAATAGATATTCTTACCTATGTCTCGCATAGTCCAAAGCCCTATCTAATGCGCCCAATCTTTCATGTGCCCTCGCCAGATTTAAATAGGCCTCTGCCCGCATGTTTGGCGAATCCAATTCTTCGGAAATGCATAACTGTTTGTGTCCAAAATCGATGCTATCTCTGAAAAAGATATATGGTTTTTTTTAATAAGTTACATTTATTCATTTATTTGTTATCAATAACAAGTTGTTGTCGAAAGCGAGAATAAGTCGAGCGACGAACTTGGTTAAGGTTGAAAGTTTCGTTTATGGAACGATTAAAAGAAATGAAATAAAAATAGGAAATGGTGAAAGATCGAAGTGCATCAAATACTCTTTCACACATGAATGAGCATAATGAATATCTGCGAGTAATAACGAACATGTTGATTTGTTAGTTGGTTCGTTACTCGTTTTTTAAGGAAAAAAAAAAAAAAAAGAAAAAGCTTCTTTATGGTGTCAAGAATCTTCGAACCTTTCACCTTTCAAATATGATGTGTCTCGCTAATTAAATATTATCTCTTGGTTATAATCTCTTTATTAAGCTTTTTTCTCTTCCTGTTCGTAGTTTAAGTTACGAGGTTGACAGTGCCTCTCCATAGCATTGAAGTGGGTTGAATAGTCTGGACAACCAGTGCCTTTCGGCGAAACAAACCAACTCGTGTCTTTCTTCTTTTCTTTTTTTTCTTTCGCTTCTTTCTTTTATCGCTTCATCTTTCTATCCATTTCATTTCTCGTTCTTCCTCATTTTTTTTTTATTGATGTCATATTATTCTCTCCACCTTCATTTTTTTTTGATTAAAAACTAATTACTTGAAATGAAAAGTTATTTCGATTTGGAAAAAGTATATTTAAGTAGCGAATACGAAGAAGAGACAAGCGTTTGGACAAGAATTCAAAAACAAAAGTATCGAGGTAATTCTGATTACATACCTATACTTTCCCCAATCCATGTAGGCTTGATACAGATAGCCGAGAAGGGCGAATTTATCTTCTCGTTGTCTAATATTCTTTAAAGCACCTCTCCATTTACGAACAGCAGCTTGTTGTTTATGAGCGCGATATAGCTTCAAGCCTTGTTCCACCTGAAAAAAATTGAAAATATAGATACACGCGTCTATCAGTTAAAACGATAATGAAGGAGGTTGTATCGATTCGGCCTTGAACTTCCTCCATCGGTTTAAGATCCCTCGATCCTGTGTAACATAAATAGCACGAAGGTCAACCTCGACAATAATGGAGAGAACAGACTAATTAAACGATGCATCGAGTAAAAGTAATACGACTAACATGATTGACATTTAGGTCAAACGATCAATCGGAAAATCTTCCTTTCTTGATTTATCTCTCTTTCATTTTTTTTTTTTATTTGTGTCGATCATATTGCATCGCGAAAATCTAAGAGTATAGGTAAATATAGAAATCGATTTTATACGTAGCGTGACTTGTAATCATAGTCGCGTGCATCTTATACGCGCCATGGTCCCATTCTCGGCAATGACCGTGACCGAAGGAAGAAAGGGATAGATTCGAGCGTCGAAATCGCGAATCGTTATAAAAAATTAATTTTTACCCGTCTTCGAGCCATATGTTGGTCTAACCGACGTCTGCAACCTATTAGACATTCCCATAGACCAGAGCCGGACCTGCCGTTCTGGTAATGAGTGTTTCCATTGGAATTCTGATGCCGATAGTCCTCTTCGGTGAATTCGCATACATCTAACGGATGCCGCGATCCATCTGGACTACCCAGAAGAGCGGTCGCGGAGAGTTGATGACTGGCCGCTCCGCTGTAAATTTCCAATGGTTCGTTCAGCGATTGTTCAATCGCACGTATTATTACATATTTCACGATTACATATTTTTCAATTCGTGTATTTTCACTTGCGAGAAAATACAAATAAAGATCGAGTATTTCTGTTTTTTCTTTATTTTTTTATATTTTCGAATCAATAATGAACAGAATTTTTATTTTATATAGATTTTTTATTATAATTTTTATTCGTGTCAGCTTTTTATTGTCGATCGAATGAAATGTTAGATTAAACAATTTTTCTCCTTTCCAAATAGATTACAAGGATGATGGCGATTGTAGCGATCAAACAAAGAGATGCGAAAATTCGATCACGGAATTCCATTTCTCAATTCGAGACGAACGACCTGTATGCTCATCGTGGGCGAGGCTTCTGTAACCCCTTTTTCTGACCTATATACCAACTTATCCCCGAGTATTATGGCACCGCGACAGTTGCCCCTCCCATTTCGTTCCTTTCGTGTTTCGGTGATTCTCGCGCCAATTCGAGAATCTATATCTATTAAAACTGAATGAATAACTATTTTATTTTATTCAATACTTACCCGAGATAATCTCTTGAAGAGATTGATTCCCATGACATGATTGCGTCTTCTTTTCTTCGTTACTTTGTCCTTTGGAATGTGTGTTCCAGTATTCCCACAACAACATGTCGATTCGCCAAAGCTTAAACTCAACTTCCCTCGTCAGCAGAGGCATTGCTTCTACAATGCTTGCAAGTCGTTACTTCGATATGACACATATCCTTCTTTTTAGATCGAATCGACACTCGATGTGTCATTAGTTAGTTGTTTCTAACTCTTTCAATCTTTTAAATTCGAATTACGATTCAAGAAAGAAGATACACGATCGTTTTCTCACCAATTAATCAATTAATACGATTTTTTATCTGTAAATCATGGATCTACTGCAAAAGAAGTCGTGAAATCGGATTTAACTTGTTAAATCGATATATGCATACAATTCAATCAAAGAGAAGATAGTATAATATTACGGTAACTTCTTTCAGCGTCACATTGTGCATTTGGACAGAATTTTTTTTTTGTGTATGGACTATTATATTTATATTTGCGGAAAAAATAGTTTTTATTTTTACGAAGTTTTGTACTTGTTTTTAATTGAGCATTGCAAGAGTTTATTTTTTTTAATTTCCAAAAATTTGTCGAAAAACAAGCAGAATTTCTGCAATCGACAAGGAAATAAAATAATAAAATATAATAATAGAAAAGAAAGGAAAAGAGAGAGAGGCAGAGAGGAGAAATTGGAGGAATGAAGAAAAAAATGAAGGAAACAAAAAAAGATTTAAACGAAAAGAATTGGGCCACGAATATCGGGATTTGAATTATACATAAAGAATATATATATAATAAAGAATATATATATATATATATAAAAGAAACCGAGTATCAATTAATAAATAATTAACATTTCGATAATTTATTTTCAATATGATTATCTTTATAGAATCTCATCAAATCCTTTTTGATGATATGATATCTTTGCTGAACGATATCTTTTATGATTTTCATACATTATTATATTATATTTTATTCTTTGTGCTTGAAAATTTTAAGCGTTCGTCTTATTTTTTTACTATTAAATCTGATTATTATTAAATATATAACATTTTATAATTTGTGACGTAATAACAGAGTATACAAATAATTCGCGCTATTGAATTTTATGAACATGAACTATATATAGATGCATGCATGTTACATGTGGTCGCGTTATATATGTATGTATGTATGTATGTATTTATATATTGTGTAAATATATTAATGTAACAATAATTTAATTTCGAACACGATGATATTTAAATATAAAATTAAAAAACAATCGAAAAAATTCGATCATAACAATCAAAGCATGGTTAACTCATTCGTTTCATTGTTTCATCAGAAAATCGCGTCACTTCGATGTTGATCTTGATCAACGAAACGCTTTGTGATAAGGTACACAAAGTATCGATTTGTCGTATATTCTAGAGCAATTGTATGGTTTACAACGTTTCTTTGATTATTGATTCATTTGTTTTATTTCTTTATTTATTATCATTTTATCGTTCTATCTCAATGATTGAAAAAATAATACTGCGCGCGCGAATTTTCAACTGAAAGTTGAGATAATTAACAGAAAAAAATTAGCACAGAATTGATTATTTGTATTTCTACCGATTGCATAATATTCAATCAATTCTGACTCCAAAAAACGCGAAAAAATGTCTAATCAATTTTTGTTTCGTGTCAAAAATTTTCAAATTAATAATCATTAAATAGAAGTTGTCGTAACAAAAAAAAAAATGATTATAAGAATTGTAACGAGCGATAACAATTGAAATCGGTACGAAGATTCGAAGATTTTCACTGTTTAAAAGAGGAAAACTCAATTTTCAAAATTTGTCATCCATTCTGAGCTAAACATATGCATTTGAGATTTAATCGCGTGATATGATGTATCTTCTTAATGAAATTAACGATCTTGTTCAATTAATATATTTCCACATGCCGTAGTCTGATACGTTATTATAGTTGGCGACACGATAATGATTCTTGTCATACGAAATTCTTTTCTTCTCTTTTCCTTCCGTTCGCTTCTTCTCTTTTTTCTTTCCTCTTAGTTTTTTTCGGTTCACGTTGAAATATTGATGTATATATTTGATGATGATCCGTCCGAACGCTGAAAGTGCTTACCGTCTGTAATACCGCGATGAGGATAAAAAGTCAGAAATGCAATTGAAATATTGCACGTGGATTTACGATTCAACCTAACACACAAACTGTCGCCGCGTCATATCGCGCCGCATCGCGTTGAAAGGATCACCTCTATTGTTTCGTATGCGTAGCTGCCTTGCGAAAATTAACCGGCAATGGTCGAGGTAGAACTGTCGCGCCCGAGCCGCAGCAGCCCGCAACACACGACCTGACGACCAACTCTCTCTTCTCCTTCCCGACCACCCCTCGCAAACCCCTCGCAACCCCTTGTAAACCCCTCACAACCTCACCCCTCCAACTCCTCGCCCAAACTCTTGCTTCGTTGTCCTCTCCCCTCTGCCCGTAACTACTCTCCGCGCCTCTTCTCGTCTCTTCTCACAGCGCCGCTCTTGCACACTTTTCAACACCATCCTAACCTCTTTATGACGCTACCCTCGTTTTATGCTTTCACTTTTCTCTTTATTTCCTGCCGCCATCGTTATGCTTTACTTTGTCTTTCTTTTCCTCCGATCATTTCTTAGCCCTTCACGATCTCTGCTTACAGAATTACCCTCTTTCCCTGCTCTGTATGCATAGCATATACATATTGGTATACATACTGGCATACATACCGAGTTTGTGCGCGCGCGCGCGCGATTACGGGAACAAAATCTCTTCCGTATTCGGTAATGACTCATCTCGATATGTTTTTTACTTTTGTATTTTCGTTGTAATTGTCAATTATTCCGATCTAATCGATTTTTATCTTTCATCTGAATTCTTTTTTTTTTTTCGTTGGATTTGTCACTAAGCATACTTGAATAGAGGAAACAAAATAGACTGAAAAAATATCGTAAATTTTTAAATTCTCGACAAGAATCTTTCCTGTATTGGCAATCTCGTGATCAGTTAAAAAATAAAGCTGAAAAACGAGAAAAGCTGAAATAGAAAGAGAATCGTGAATCATTCAGCTTGATTTGTGCGTTTCCATAAAAATGGGTGAGGCATTGCCCTTTCCTGAACTTTTAGCTTTGCCGGATGAGGTATCCCGGCCAACCGAATCCTGAAAGGAGAAGAGGGTGACCCGTTTTCCATCTCGCTTCTCCGATTCAAATAGTTCGCCTTGCGATTTTCTCTCTTTGTTTTCGACACGATTACCTCCGAGTCGGTCCGAGATTTCACGAATACTGTACCGTTTATAGGGGTGCAATACAGCACCACCCCTATTACGCGTCAAACTTTCTTTCTGCACTTAGATGCATACTTATATATTTATATATTATTTATATATATATATATATAAATAGTAATATAAAATATATATATTTTATTTGTGATTCGGATACATATTTGTATAGTCTAATTTATTTAGGCTTATTCATGGATACATGTATCCTAGTTATTTATATATTGATAAGATGTTACACGATGAAAAATAAAAAATTTTACAGTGTAATGGAAATTTATCAATTGGATGATTTGTTTATTTATTTATCGATAAAATCGTTAATTTCAGTCACTTCCAACACTCTTTCTAATTTCCTCGGTGTTTTGCGATTATATTCTGCGAAATGCCTCTTGCTTGCAATCTCTTTCTACGATATTTTCCTATGTAGGTAAATAGGTCACCGGTTCAAGGCCAATCTTCGCCGTTTGCCGTAGGGCAATTCGTGTTCTCTGCATCGTTCTCCTTTAATTTTAATCTTTTCTCTTACATCATCGAATGGCTTTTGTTGGCTTACCCATTTGGTCTTTGATACTACATAGAAAATTTCTCGTTTGTTTCATCATTTGTTTGTTTCTTTAAATGAAGAGCTTTTATTTGTTCGATATGTTCAATCCAACTCGAGAGTAAAAGCAAGTCAATCGCATCTAGTATAAAAGACAGGAAGCTACGAATATAATATACTTATACATATACTTATATGTATACATATCTTTCGCCATCATGACGCGTTGAATAAAATTGCATTGAATAAGAAATGATATTCTTTTAATTATATTTCCATTTTTGAGATCAAGATATTGTGATTTTTATTTGATCAATTGAGAAATTAATCTTTAGATATACGAAAGAAAATAATAAAATTTCGAAAATACTCGAATGCAATCTCATTCAAATTTATCAATGATTGTGAGGAGAATGAATCATCATGAAAAAAGAGAAGGAAAAAAATTACGACTCTATATCAACTCAATGTGTGATGACTTATAAATCAGATAGAAGATGAAAAAATTTTAAACAGTATCGAGATTAAAACCACACCCCAATGTGACGACATTTGACCAACCATTAGATTCGAGTAGAGAAAGAAAAGAGGCGGGACGATAGTGAACGTCGGAGAATTTTCACGGACTCCAATTGGTTGGTTTCTCGTCGAAAATAATCCATCTGGGTGTACCCAGATGCTAAACGTAGCTCGTAAAGTATCCGAACTGTTCGCTAGGCGTGGGTTTCGACGGTCGAAGAACGTGGTTCGAAGTGTGAGCGCGAGTGCGAGCATAAGTGCGATCGGGTACGGAACTCGACGAACGTGAACGAGAGCTTGCGGTCCGCATTCGTACACGTTTCAGGGCCACGAGCCGGCTCCCGGAAACTGCGTCGCGACGTGCCGCGACACATTGCAACGCTTTAATCTTAGAGTTTTCGATTTGATCTTTGCGATTTTTGAAAATTTTCAATCATCGATTATTGATCTCTCATCATTTATATTGTGTATATTTTTTATTCATACGTTTCTCCTACACGTTTTATTTCATTCACGTGCCTTCTTGTTTTTAAATTTGTATCAAAATTGGATAATTCCAACGATTGTCTACAGGTATAATTGATTGATTGATCGGTCGGTCGGTCGATCGGTCGGTCTGTCGGTCGATCGATCGATCGATCGATTAATAAATTGTCAGATAGATAGGTAAATAAATGGATAGATCCGGAAGAAAAACGGAAATGGAAATCGGATCGCGGATATTGTTTGCGATATTAGAAATCGCTTAACAGAACATGTATTCGGCATGAAAATCGATCGAATCAATTACGAATTTCCTTTTCAAAAATATATTGGTAATCAAAATATCGATACGCGAATCGAGAAGCGCCGTTTTATTCGATTCCAAACGAAAAAAGGACGGAAAGAAAGAAAAAGAGAAGAAGGAAGAGGAGAACAGGAAGAAAGTGGAAGGAAGTGGAAGAAGATTGCACGAAAAAAACTTTTTATCGGAGTGTCTCACGAAAAACGATGACTCTTGTGACAAACACTATATCTTATGCATGTCAACCGATCAACAGAGAATCCTACGACATTTATCGGCATCATCACTTACAACTTCGGCATCATAATCATCATCTTCATCGTTATTATTACCATCGGCATCATCATCAGTATTATCATCAGTATCATTATCGTCGGCGACAAAGTGTATACACTTCTATTGATAATCCTTCAATTGAATATCTGGAAAGACACCTGACTGAAGAAAATGTGGATGAAGAAACGAAAAGTCGTGTAATCGAGACAGCTGAGAACGACTTTGCATTAGGATCGACGAGCTCTCAATGCTATCAGTACGATAAAGAAAAAATAATTGTTCAACAAATTTCATTTTTTTTCTCTTATTCTTTCTTTTTCTTTTTTTTTTGGAATTCAAGTGAAATTCAAATCGTATAATATTATTATTTCAAAAAAGTACGCAATGCATTGCCGTACACGACGACACAGCAATTTCGTCGCGTGTCAAATCATTTTCACCTCATATTTCATATTTAATGTTTATTATCTTGAATTCATTGTCACACTGACAATGAGATCTCACAATGCCAATCATTTGGAATCATTTCAATTAGAAAAAATATTTTCCATGAAACGGAACCCAATGGTTTATTTATCAATATATAAATCATTTTAATTTTTTTTTTTCTTTTCGGATTTGTTTCTATGATTTCAAACAACACAAGAGATAAGAAAAAAGGTATAATAAAAATTTATTGTTCGTCGATAGATCACAACCATTACGATACGCAGTGGACTCGGACGACGCGTCGTCCATCGTATCGGTGGATGCTTCGGCTGATCTTGAATCTGGTTCCGTCGAGGCTGAGGAGAGCAATGGGGATAATGAATTGAATGAATCAAACGAAAGGAGTAACGAGTTGAACGAAACCGAACTACATGAACATGTGCCTCATCCTGACGTGGCTCTGGATACTGCTACTTCGATACACGGACCTCGCCGATGTTTACTTTGGGCTTGCAAAGCTTGCAAGAAGAAAACTGTCACCATCGATCGAAGAAAAGCTGCTACTTTACGAGAAAGGAGACGTTTGAGAAAAGTGAGTTTCAAATACATATGAATAATTGAGATTCATAATAGAATTCTCTTTTTTATGTTAGTATTTCGATTCGTATCATAACAGACAGTGACCCGGAAGGTTATTTGTATATGTGTTTCAGGTAAATGAGGCATTTGAAATTTTAAAAAGAAGAACAAGTAATAATCCCAATCAACGTTTGCCAAAAGTTGAGATTTTAAGGAACGCAATTGAATATATCGAAAGTCTTGAAGCATTGTTGCAGAACAACAGATCTTCCTTAGCTGAAGATCATGGCTTGGTCGAAAATACGACAGTAAGTTTATATACATATATGTTTCTTACAATATTCTGTATTTCTTCGTATTGAAAAATCGAGCATGCATGTAACGTTCCTCTAATTTTTTCAATATTTCTATTCAATAAATGAAAACAAATATCTTTTTAATTCTTTATTCAACTTTTAGATCAATAGAAATGATTTAAATTATTTAATATAATATTAAAAAATATAATCTTGACAATAAATAAAGTTAAAAACACTTATTAAATATGTAGGACGCACTCGAATATCCGGAATACTTTGTGTTGTATATATTATAATCATTATATCATATTTATTCACAAATTCATAAATTCGTGATAAAGAAAAAGAAAATTAAACTGATAAAAAACTGTGAATAGAAAAATTTAACCATCGTTGTACGGTCTTTAAAATAGAGTTAACGAGCCAGCTACTTTGGGATTCTTCTCGAGGGGATTATACAATGAAATATATTTCCCTGGTATTTCGTATCGCGCAAAGCAGTCGACTCGTATCCTCGCTAAATATAAGTTTGATGCTACGCATCGATTCATAGCATGTTAACGGACGCTTTTCTTTCTTTGAAATGTGAATACCAAATGAAATTTTAATTTTGATATATTTACTTTCGAAACATTCTAATGATTAAAAAATTTTTAACATTCTATTTATTTGCATTTATTATATTCAGATATAGAAAAAATTTAAAAATAATACAGAACAGGACTACAAAAATGAGATACAATTACATAGATAATTATTAGAAAGTATATATATATATATACTAGAATATATTACTAGAACAAAGGGACAAAGATAAATATCTAATATAATATATTTAATAAAAATGTTTGTAATGTGAAAATTATAATTTTTGAGCAATGAGCAATCAATGATTCTCGATGTTTTTGAATATTATTCCGTGTAACAAATTGATAAACTCTGCTATATTATATGCTTGAAAGATTCAAAATACATACATTCATGTATACTTTAAAAGAAGA